ATGGTTTCCTACGGCAACCTGCGTCCCCTTTTCTATCGTGGCTTGTTCAGCGAAGTGCTTGGAGGCTATGCGCGACATGGAGTGCGATTTCTCGAGGAGGCCGAATGCCCAGTCGCGGCGGGCTTGGAAGAGGGTTTGCCATGCTCGTAGATCGGTGTTGTTAGAGAGGGTATTTGGCGGGTCGTCGGGTTTGAAGGCATCTGGGAGCGGTGTAGGTGTTATGGCAGCCTGGGCTGCATTTGAAAGCTCGCGGCTGTAGACGAATATCTCTTTCTAGGGAACAGTCTTGTCAGCATGAGTTGAAGAGTGCAGAAAGAGTATTGCAGTACCTCGGTCAGCAGCGCCTGTAGCTTGACATGCTTGCCCTGGGGCGTCAGGAGGATTTGGTTCTCGGGGGGAATTTCAGTCGCTCTCGAGATCCAGAACTTGAGCGCATCGACGGAACTAAAGGCAACGGGATCAGCGTCGAGGCGCTGGCCCGTATGCGCTACAGCAATCTGCAGCGACATCCGGCCTTGCCCTCCCACTGCTCGGTGTCTATCGAGGCAGTTATACGGAAAGCGGTGTTTGTCGGTGATAGCATGTGCTGAAGCGTGAGCAAGGCGGCAGGTAACAAAGTAGGCGCTCGGGCCCCCGCTATCCTGCATCATCCTCTGCGACGCGCTTGATCCAGTCAGATGGTCATTTGCGCGAACAGAATCAACAAACTTCCCCCGTCAAGATGGCGTTGCAAGGCGATGTTGTCATGGCAGACGCGACGGCCAAAGTGCAAGATGCGAACGACCTTGCAGACCTACTCCAGACAAACCATAGCGACGCGTTCGCGTTTTCTGATGTAGAGAAGCGAGCGCTTCAACTCTATGATGAATTACAAGAGCTCGAATTGCAGCAGAGTCTCCTCCAGGCACAGCAGCCAGGCATGTCTTGATCTCAACCCTGATATCTGATCAGTGCTGACTTTAATTGTGCAGCGCATGTGACCGTCTCCACTCTCTCAGATGACGAAGTCCAACAGCAGCTGACCATCGCGCAACGTGAAGCCATGGACGCGAAAGCTGAGTATGAGATACGGAACAGAATCACGCAAAGTGTTCTCGTCATGGATCCTGTTCTTAAAGCGGTTCATGGTGGAGACCGCACAGGGTCTGCTGAAAAGTAAGTTCGGAAGCATGCACTGTTTTTGTTACATCTCACATCGACTAGACGCATACTTCCGTTGATAGCTGAGAGCGATATACTTTCTATGGTTCACGGCTCGGTGGCATCCAGACTTGCTTCAACGACCAGCGCTCAGAGCCTTGTCGAGCAGGCAAACATTGTTGCGAATGCGAAGAACCGAGAATTATCCCAGACCATGCTTGCTCTGGCTGAAGAGATGAAGTCTTGGTCAGCAACAGACATTGAGGATCATCAATTACGTGCGGAAATCGACACTGTGGAGAAGGAACTCAAAGAGTCGCGGAGACGGACGAAAACGCTAAAGGGCATCATTTCTGCAATGATCGTGGGCAGCGGAATCAACTGGGCGGCAGATGAGGACTTGACTGAGCTTGTTCTGGACGATGAAGAAGATGGTTGAGCGGTCAAATATTCGCTTGGATGTATATCTGATGAACAAATACCCCAGGAAGGATCCGGTAGGAACTCGTTTGAACGCTTTGGTGGAGGACAGGGAGCGCATCGCCTTCAAACGGCGTGGACACTCCAGCGTCAAGAATCATCGATTTACGTTTGACTACTACTAGATGCCAACATACAAGAACGAGGTGGGTCACTATTCGTCGCCCGACTACGAAGAAGAGAACGGAGATGACATCGACGACTCTACTCAGTTTCTGTGATGAGGACTCGAGAGAACTGCAAGGCTGTTGCGTGACCAGACGGACAGGACAAGGCTCGCCAAGACACTAGCGCATGTTTGTTGACCATAATACGTCATAACCGTTGCCAGAGGGATGTAGATAATGAGGAGTGGCTGGCTGCGTGGTGTGGTGCTAGAGCGATGAAAACAGTCGATGTAGCAGAGTATGGGCGTGTTTCGCTGATGGTCGAACGAGGATGGTGATGTGATGCCTGGTGCGCTTCAAGGGAGTCAGGTTTGGGGCTAGGGAAGGTGCAGGCACGTTTACGCGGCCGTCTTGAGGTGACGCTGAGGGCAAACTCGACATGAACGCAGTATCAAAGCGATGGTGGTCGTCTTGTTGCCATCACATTTCCCATGTCAGGTTGCGATTGTCTCACGGCGCAAGGCTCTTCAGGCTTAAAACGGGCGAGGCATTTATCCTCTTCCGTGTCTAGTCCGGTCTTACAAGGACACAGCACAGGTGAGTGGCCGGGAGCGGGCTCAACGAGGGTCTCGCGCCTCCCCGGCCATGGAGGAACATTGATGCAGCAGCACTTGGGACTGGGGAATCGGGCGCTGCGGGGCGAGACCAAGCGGCTTGCGCTGCGAGCACGGAAGAGGGCCTGCAGCGCAGCGCGTTGCAACCTGCGGAGCCGGCTGGTGGGTGCTTTGTGGTGCTTGGGAACAGGACCAGCCAGCCGCGCTCTGAGAGATAACGTCAAGGGCCGCCGTGTGTGCGCGGCAGCGAATGATAGACCGTGGGCCTCTGCGAGTAATCTAAAACGATGGGGAGCGCCTCGCTCTCAGGGATGCGCGCCAGTTGACCGCACCGCCCAAGCAGCGCGCTGGGCAGACTCTGAGCAGACGGCGCGCAGCACGGCGGGAGGGCCACACAGCAGACGCATCACGCAGCAGCAGAGAGAGCAAGTGAGGCGTCGCATCGCACACGCCGACCAAGAAAGGGAGGGTGGATCGCGTGCCGGCTCTCCTGGAGTGGGAGGGGTGAGAGGAGGAGTAGCCTGGCGGCCAGTCGAGAAGGAGGGGCCCGGGCGGCCAGAGCCAAAACAAGCGGCCACGGGTGACTAAGGACTCGCATAGGTAGTCGCGCCCGTCCTGCTCCTTGCTGAAGCCCGCCCTCTCCTCTACTACAGTCCTCTCTCTCATACAAAATCCGCAGCGAGACAGCTGGTAAGTGTCCTCGGCTGGTTTCTATAAGTCACCATACGCACGCGCACAACCCCAACCACATCACCCATTCCCACGTTTTTTTTTCGCCCGCTTCCCGCACAGAGGTCGTCCTCTGCCCTCTTTGGTTGCATCTTTCGTCCAAATCGCATTCGATTTCCTGTTCATCACGTCGCCATCCGCCTCCACCAGGCCCATACTGACTCCAAACCAGACCTCCTGCACCAAATCTGATTTCGCCGCTTCCAGCGCTACCTGTGAGTACCTGCATTTCCCATTCTCGCATTTCGCGCAATCATCGCGTCGTGTCGTGGTGTTTTGCTGCCGCGTACCAGACGCGCTGCGCACCTGCAACACTGGGCCTCTCACCTTCCCAAACACGTATATCAAGCACCACCCGCCCACTTCTGCCTGATTGATCGCCTGCTCTTCTGCACTGTCTTTTCTACCATCTTCCAACCCGCCAAAACTCCACTTCTTCCACTCATCGACGCCAACCAGCAGCTGACCTCCCACTCCAGCTTTAGCCCAACTCATCAACTCTATCAATCATGCCCAAGGAGAAGTCCACCCGCGGCAAGGGCAAGAAGGAGGCCGTCGGCAAGAAGAAGAAGGGTAAGTCATCCGCCCTCTTGTGTTAATTCAATATTCAATTAATAAGCCAAAAAAGACCCCAACGCGCCCAAGCGTGGTCTCTCTGCCTACATGTTCTTCGCCAACGAGCAGCGCGACAAGGTCCGTGAGGACAACCCCGGCATCAAGTTCGGTGAGTTTTCCGTGTTCTCTCTGCAGAACTCACATTAACCCTGAACAGGCGAGGTCGGCAAGCTCCTCGGTGAGAAGTGGAAGGCACTTTCTGAGAAGCAGCGCACTCCCTATGAGGCCAAGGCCGCCACCGACAAGAAGCGCTACGAGGAAGAGAAGGCCGCCTACGCCGTAAGTCGTGTTTGTCCCAAACTTGAGCTCAGCTAACCCCGACCAGGCTGGTGAAGAGGAAGAGGAAGAGTCCGAGTAGAAGTGGCGTTTAACACGCGCTACCTACTATCATGCTTCAACTTGTATGGGCTCGTTCTATCGGCGGTTATGGTGTCTCGGGCGGCTCAGGCTATCAAGCCTCGGTTTCCTTTGTGCTCTTCTTTTTCTAATGGGTTCTTTGTGCAGGCCGGCTAGCAAATCTGTGGTTCATTTCGAATGACGGCCGCGGTACAGCTCGCCCCATGCGGTCATGATGTTTGGCGTCCCGACTCGTCGACGTGGAAGACATCACGAAACTCATGACCAAGTCTATGTGTACACTAGTCAACTGCGGTATGAAAATGGTTGTTCCTCAATTCTACCAGTGCAATCATGAACGTGATGTTTTTTTGTGAGGAGTTAGTCTCTGCCAATTTTGCTTCGGCGTAGCGCTGCTCATGCCTCCGTATTTCGAATCCCAGCTCAACGCACAAAATGATACCGCATAGAATTAGTTTGCGTGCTCTGTATCTCGAAATACATAGTTTAGGTAGCCGTGAATCTGTCAGATTGTTCAAGGTGGTGCATTCAAGTGTCTATGGTGGGTCTCAAGAAGGTTTCCTGGCAGCTTCTCTCGAGCTATATTGGATACAACATACGGAATACAGAGTACTCGGGCGTCAAATAGCGGATAAGGGGGATATGGGGGCCCCACGGTAATCATATCCAGGCCCCCCCTATGTCGCTTCAATAATACTCAATACAACAGAATATCTTCAAGTTGAATACTGCGCGCAGTCATCTCATGTTCAATCGAATGCAAATGCAAATGCTACAGCTCGCACTCACCGTGCGTGACGGGTAGCCGCCTCACTGGCTGCACCTTCCCGTGAAAACGACAAGGCTTCTCTCACCCGCACAACAAGATATTCGGCTTAATAGATGTTGAAATTCCCCAGTCTGACATTCTACATCCATAGGTAGTGTACTATTCTACTAACCATCATCGGGCAACACAGCGTCGCTGGCCCAGTGGTACGGCGCCGCCCTCCCATCGTCCAAAGCGAATGAGAGGCGGAGATCACGGGTTCAATCCCCGTGCGGCGCATTGTTTTTCTTTTGGCTTTTTTTTCTTTGCTTTTGTGTGGAGTGAGTACGTTCAGGTGAAAAGAACTGAGGGGTAGCTTGAGTGAAGAAGGTCACACAGGTCTTCTACCACAGATTGTACGTTTGGATAGTGCCATCAAGAGGATGACAGACTTATACCAGGCAATCCTTTTGAATTGATACTTGATATTGAATAATTGCATTGATGCATGAAGCAATCGTTGAGATCAGTACCAAGGTGCCTGTACCGAGGAGGCAGATACACGGAGCTCAGGCACCCAATTGTTGAACCATTTTTTTGGGCAAATATGATGGAATCGGTTTCTATTCCTTTTGGCTTGGATCAAACGCAATGTCCGGAGTATCATAGAAACGCCGTAATGCATCGTTCTCAGCGGTGCCGCTTCACAAAATGTATTTCAGCCTATGCACCATCTGACAACCGCCTGTGCCACGCATGCATATATAAGAGCTTCGGGTATTCAGAATCAACGCGACTTTTCCTCTGCAACCGGACTATTCCCTCTGCAGCACGACCATGACACCCATTATCCCAAGCATCACTTGTTTGAGCCATGGGTGCTCGCTGAGAAGGATTGTAACGTATCCGACGAACGGAATGAAACCCACAACGCTGCCGATGACGTCTTCTTTGCGATTGAGGAATGATTGGCCCGCGGCATAAAGCTCGGTGTCGTCTGCGAGATTGTTGTCGCCCTTGGTGAGCAAGCGGAGGGGTGTCTTACTACGTCAACATTAGCACATAATCTCGAAGCCCGTGATATCTATCTCCACTCTAGATTGTCTCGACTGCGTACATCAAACTCCCTCCTTCTCCATCCAACTAATCTCCCAAGGAAGAGCACGACTTACCCGCCTCCATATCGCCGGACCACACGATGCACAATTGGGATATCCTTGCCCTTCACGTTGTACACCACAATCTCCCCAACCTGTGTGTCCATTCCCCTGTTCCACAGGAACAATAAATCCCCCCTCTGGAACGCGGGTTCCATGGATCCAGATAGTACGACAACAATCGGTGATGGTGAATCGCTGGCTATTGACAAGCCTTTCCAGAGCATGAAGGCTGTTGAGAGGACGAGCGCGAAGTTGAGGACTTGGGCGGCTAGTTGCCGGGGCTGCATTGCGCTGAGACCGAGCATATTGGCGGTTTCTTGTGGTGGTTGCGGTCGCTGGCAGGATAGGTAATGCGGTTCTTGCTCCCGATTCGTTTGCCGATGAGCAGTTTGGTTTTCCTTGGATGCGAAGGGAGAGGATGTTCCGCGCGTCCTCTGAGTTGGCGGCGGTCGGTCTGCGAATAGGACCAGGAAAGGAAAGCGCGCGTCGTGGAGTTTGTAGTTCGGAGCTTGAAGCCAGATGTCCTTCGATTCGCTGTTGCGGACAGCGGCTTATGTAAACCTCCGCGCCGACTTCACCGCAGACAGACCTCTCTTGAACCAGTAAAAATCGGAATTTCGGTGAGAGGACTCTTAGCACCAGAAAAGGGTGACGCATCTTCGTTGGCACCTTGTCGAAGCTATTTACGTATTGTTGACGGTCTTGATACTCTAGAAACCCATTTTCTTGTGTGGGAGGGCCGTCACCAAGACGTTGAACACTATACCATCTCCGTTCTCAATACCACAACACGCCAGTCTCACTAACCGCCTAGCATATAGTCCTTCTGAAGCAGTAGAACAAGTTTATCTGAAATGAATTTACTTACTTCGTCTCTCACCCATACTACCTCGTGGCTTCCTTAGTGGTACGGAGATGCCCTTGAGCTGCCGTCAAGACCGTCCCCTCACCAGTCCCTCATCATCAAGTGACCAAGAAACACCTACTTTCCAGTCCTCACCATATCTTTTTACAAACTTCCAACATTTCACTTGGCCCGCTCTTCACCTTTGTCCCCACAACTCGCAGTCAAGCCATTGAACTCCACTTGCTTGCTTGCCGATCGGTAGCTAAACTCTCGATGGCAGTATTTGCACCAGGCGCTCTAATACTGTGGCGCCCCTCGGGATCTACTCTGCCGCGATGGCCTGCAGTAGTCTGCGTGGACCAAATGGCACCCGATGACTTCCTTCGAAATCGGCCATCTGGATACGTGACACTCGTATTGCGAATTTCAGATGTGTATAGTTTGTCTGTATCACTTCCCTCACTATCTATTTTGCTAATTCTCTCAGTCATTGGGCTTCCACGACCGAAATACACGAGTACGATCCATGTGTTCAATTCAATTGGAACAGCCTACACGCCGATGCTCCTGGACTTGGAGAGGCGTTTGCTATCGCCGACTCAGCTCTCGATGCAGGCCTTGGCCTCGACCATTGGACGGCGGAATACAAACGGCAGGCGGCAATGGTAATTATCTCTGATGACGAACAGACATGGTCAGACTTTGGAGACTTAGATGATGACACCGATTCCGACTCAGAACTGAATCGGGCACTTCGTGAAAGTCAACGTTGCTCTCAGGCTCACAGTCGGCCAGCAGAGAAGAAGCCATCCCAAGGAAACGCGACTTCGGCCAGCTCATCATATGAACATGCTTTAAGAAAAATTCCAACAGCTAGACCAATTCCTCCCGTTCGCTTTCCTTTCGAACAAACCTCTGGGCGCTTGCTAGGCCTCGACAGGCTTGGGCAAAGTTTCACGGCTCCTACTAGTGACGTTGTCGAAGGAGAACTGTAAGTCTTCTGGGCTAATAGTGTGACCCGACTGACGGCGTAAAGCAATACAAGTGATGAATTTGTGCAGATTAAAGTTGGTGAAGAAGAAAGTGAGTTGGTATTACCCATGAGTTGTTTATGGAGCCGGCCATACTTCAGAGATGCAAGAGCTGGAGTGATGCATTTCACACATAATGAGAACAATCTCTGGGAATTGACTCATCCTGGTCTTTCTGAAGTCGAACCTGAAGACTTTGCGTTCGCAGCCGAGTTTCTGGAAAGCGGACAGTTCGGTCTGAAGGTGCCTGTTGGACATAGTGAGAACCGGGAAGCGTTTGCGCAATGCATGTCGGCGTGGGCAACAGCCGACACACTGGGAATGATTGACATGATGGATCATATCGTCGACAAGCTCACAGAACGGATCGAACTTGACCTCTGGGACATGATGGTTTTCGCATGCCGCTTCTATGAGGACATGGATGTCTCGCTCCCCGCCCACGACCGTCTCAAGGACTTCTTAGCAACATACCTCGCTGAGAACTTCTGGATCTACATTCGAGACGACCACTTCAGCTCTGTATTTATCGATCGAATCCAGGCACTGCCAGAGCTGGAACACGACATATATGTTCGAAGGACGTTGGCCCTGACACAACAGCTTCAGTCTGACGATGAGGACCAGGATGACGATGAGGACGGCGAAGACAACACGACAGACTGACAACATGCCGCTCTGTGGACCCTGGTAGTACAATGTAATGTAATGATTCGAGCATATTTTTCTAGCTGCACTCTTGTAGTTTCTGCCTGCTACCATAAGCCCTTGACCTGTGACACCCGCTGTGTTGGTTCGAATATCTCGTTGTTATCTGCGGTGTTATTTGTTGAACCACTACCACTATCGCGGAAAGTTGGAAATATCGATGCGTCATGGTTCGCACTCGCGTCCCAACCAAGTGTCTCTTCTTTCTCATAATCCATAGGCGCCCATGCCGACTCCTCCTCTTCCTCTTGTCTTCTTACATCGTCATCATCTGGAATGAAGAGACTCTCAGAATCTGTCTGGGCTGGCTGGACTTGGGACATGGTTGAGTTCTGACGGGAGCCTGGGTTCCGCAATCGTCCGGTGCGATTCCGTCGTGATGCGGGCTCGGTCGGTGGAGGCATCTCTGATCGTGCGGTGTGTATCTCGGCGCGTTCCGTGGTCGTCGATGGTGCACGAGAAGTCCGCCTGCTGTTGGCCGCCTGGGGTGCTGCCGTGGGTGTGGGTGGAGCGCCGGCGTAATCGCCAGATGTCATTAGAGTGAACTCGCAGAGTAGGCCATCGCAACCGTAACTAAACTGGAGTGGCCGGGTAGGGTGGGAGTAGTATGCCTTGAGGCTCGTCTTAAGGGTGTCCGCATGAATGACGATGGCTTTGAAGTCCTTCACGCTGATGATGATATGCAACCCTGCTTGTACAATGAACTCATCAAAGTCTGATGTGTTCACAGCCACCGCAGTGACTAGGGGATGCTTAAGGATTTCCTTCCCGTTCGAGACCTTCTCGGTATAGCTTTTGAATACACATCGGCCATCCTCGCCCGCGAAGATGTCAAGCATCTCCGTCTTCGTGCCGAAATACTCGATGTACTCCTTGATGGCGCCAGAATGCATAACCCATCTGTTCTTCGCAACGCTGCGATCGAAAAGAGCGTGCATGACATCGACAGCCTCGTAGGTCAATTTGTAAGTCTTGATTACACCTTGATTGCACACCATCTTAACAATGAATCGACACTGCGCCTCATTCTCTCGCTCTTGAACTGTAACCTCGCAATGGTCTATAGCGCCATCTCTGCCTAGCGGATCGTAGAGTCGTCCTTTGAAAACAGACAGCAATGCTTTCGTGTACATGCTGCACGTGAAGCGACCATCTGGTCCGCCATGGCTAGGAACACATTCATAGTGAGAAAAAAATTGTTTGCCGTCGAGAGTCACAGCAGCATAGGCTGATTTGGAAGAATTGAGAGCAGTAAATGTGAACTGGTACGGGGTTTAGAAGACACTCGAGGGAATCGGGCGGGCAGTTGACCTACTCTTTCTTGACGCGCTTCAATAGCTACAGTGTCGCTGAACTTTCCCAGGCAGACGAGAAGGTCGTGGACCTTAGATGCCGCCTCAGGGGTGAGTGTGAAGTTGAGCAGTACCATGATTGCGGTTCATCATTCCTTGCATTGCTGGTGTGTGGTAGATGCAATGGTCAAGACCGAAAGCGGAAGTCGCGTCAGGAACGCGCTAAGACGCAGCGCTTGAGCTGAAAGGTGGCGACGTCACA